TTTTTTTTTTTTTTTTTTTTTTTTTTTTTTTTTTTTTTGGAACAATTTGCTGTATCTACCTATTGGTAATTTGCTGTATATATATCCTATTGCGATAATATAATTGCTTCAGACTTCAGTGTACCAAGAGAGACAATTTGACCATTGGACATTCGATTATTCTGTAACAATTTTTTCTAACCACCAGACTTGACTGTTCCTAGTGCAAGACCCGTTAGTTTTATTCTGAGAACTATAATCTCAGGTATTTGCGTGTGCTAAACCTCTACTGGAAAAAAAATATAGGCACTTTGGTTGAAGGTCTGATACTTTTCTCAGTCTTCTTGATGAAAACAAATCCGACGACCTGAGCTTAATCGATGCAAATGGTTTCTGCCAGTTGATACTTGAGGTAAACTTGTTGAGTCTTCTCAAGTCTCAACTATGCATAGCGAGTGCCGAGTGGGTTGATAGTTAAGTTACTTATGATGCTTATCTATTTTCACCAATTGATAACGCAGCTCGCGTATTTGGAGACTATACTGAAACCATACTTGACGGTAGATGCAACCGACTCTCTGCAATGAGCTGTATTGGAGAAAGTAATAGAGAGCATTGGCGCGACAGTTGAGAACAACCCGGGAGGGAAATCAACGGAAACCATCGCGTGGCAGCGAAGATGCAATTTGATGACAAACAACAACCATCTGTATCTCCAGATGATCTCCTTGTAAGCCTATCTCGATATTTTACCAGCTACAAACAAGCGGTTCTCTTATTTATTAATTTACTGGTGCTTTAGGCTCTTGCGCAGCAATGTACACGCGAAATGCTTCAACTGGAGTTAGAGAAGACCGGACCCGTTTGAATAGTGCATGTTTCGTTTAGACTAGCCCTTTAGATTCAGTAGCCAAATCTGCCTACTCGACTTCCAGAGCGTCTATGGGTTCTCTGAGCAGAAACTACAGAGAGGCACAAACAGTTGGTTCTCCGGTTAGAGCTAAACCCAAACGAAGATAAGACAATCTACATCATCTCTGCATTGCTACACCTACACTTTAACTACAACTCTGAAGCTTGTTGGTGATTATGATACCAGTAGGCAGTAACTCTCTTCGTTCCAACTTTGATACTAATACTCCTTATGTGTCTATAGATTGGTTCTCCTTTTCGCTATATATTTTACATGTTTGCAAATTACATCATCTTTCTTCTTGACATCAAAATCTTGTTTGCGTCGTGAACCGTGAATCATTTATGTGGTTCTCGTTAATCAAAATGTCTGCTGGATTAAATAGGCAACACAACTTCTATTAAAAATGAAGCAAGTTAACATGGGTTTCGAATACGATATCTCCGCTACATTCAGTTAAAATAATTGAAAAACTAAACACACGAATACAAATCAGAAGCTAAGATGTTACCCAATACACAAAAACATTTTGTGTCTGAAACTCAAGTAGTCCTCAAAGGTGGGGACACCAAGATCACTCCATCTCCTCTCACAAATAGAAACGGAACCTTTCGTTTCGATGTCTGACAAACAACAACGAAAAACAAAGCAAGTGCCATCAACAGGAAGGTCAATATGCTTACACAGTTAACAAATCCATACACATCATTTCGTTTTCAATCGAAGAACATAGTATCACTAGTCTTATCAAAAGCTAACACATCAGATTCCAAATTTTATAGTATATACCACTGCATAGCTAATCAACACCCTATGTAACCAGCACTATGACTAAGGCAATGCATACTGTGAAAGCTTTAATCTTATGAACCAAACCGTATTACCACTAAACAGCAACAGTAGAGATTATCAAATCCACAAGGAAAATAAAAGATTAATAATAAAATCTTTGTTAAATGACATACACGAACAATCTCTTCGTATGTCTCGTCGTCGATTTCTACAGTCGTGATAACCTCTTCAACATCACCCAGAATCATATTCAAATGCTGATCATAAGCCTGCCAAAATAAATAAACATAGTGAGTATATCTTGAATTTTTTTTTAACAAGATTCGGTATAAAAAAAAAAAAACGAACGTGTAGCTTGCCGCGGAGTTCACGATCGGATCGGAGCTTGACGTAGATTCTCTCTTCGATACTCAATCGAATCAGATCCAGTGGCTCCCTAACGGTCGCGTCTTCCTCGACGGACATTCTGATCTCAAACTTTTTCTCGGAGGGTTTTGAAATTGCGAAGAAGAAGGGAGGAGAATAGTCACCAGACTCACCACTATTACCACGTTGATTTTACTTGAAGGATTTTGGGGCTCGCGTAAGAAAGTTTAATTTGGGCTTTAAACTATTGAGTCTGGCCCAATATGTTTTTCTTACACAAAACTGGACGAAAGCATCTCTAACGAATTTTTAAAAACGACCCTTCAAAATTGAACCTTCAAATTTTGAGATCTCTGTTTTAAGTTTGAAGAAGTTAAATAATTTTTTATAATTTTTTTCTGGAGATTACAGTTAACATAACATTTATATGCATGAGTTTTATAAATGTTCAAAATAACATGCAAAGCGTAAATCATATGCAACATTTGATTTCGTGTATATGAGAAGTACGAAATCCAACTTGTTTCATGTATATGAAAAGTACAAAATCCAGCTTGTTTCAATGTAATGAAAAGTACAAAATTCCAACTTGCTTTCTCAAAAAAAAAAAGGTTTCCAACTTGTTTATGTGAACGGGTTATTTGCCAAATAGCCATAAAGAAAAAAGAGTAAATCTTGTGCAACTTCTTCAGAAAAAAATCATATGCAACACTTGAATTGCTTTATAAAAAATGCTCTCACTCCAAAAATCCTCGTATCACGGATGAGAATCTTCTGGCTGCGTCAGAAATATCACACGCTTAGTCCGGTCCACGTCAGGTTCAATTAATTTGAGAAAACTATTTGTCGTTTTCTTATTCAAAAGGTTATTAATCATTTTGTTACTATTAATTCTTCGTCACGAGAATGGCTCACTTCATAGTTCAGACATCCTTTTTCTGGTTCACTTTACACATCCATGTTCCATTTTATTATTAGTGACATTTAAAAAACAATAGTATACACTAAATACATCAAATTTGGTGATTGTTTTCAGGACGCAATGATAAAAATTATTATAATTGTTTAAAATTTGAAATAAAAATATCTTATATATTAAAATAGAAATCATGACCTTGATTTTATGATCTTTTTTAAAAAAAAAATTATCACTAGAAATTTTTACTATATGTATTTCATTAAAACTAAAAATATATAGAATCTTTAAAACACTTTAATCATAATATCTTTTGATATCTTTTTATTTTAAATATAAATATATTTATTTAAATTCTAACAAATCCGTTTTAAAAGATTTTTATAAGATCTTCATTTTTATATTATCTTTAAATATTTTCAGTAATTTTGAAATTAGTTTGAAATATTATTATACATTAATATATTCAGCAAAGTTTATAAAACAAAAATTTATATCATATTATCTATTATATAGTCATAATCAATCATATTAAAAGAAAATTATTATATTAAGTTAAATATAATAAAATTGTATTAAGTTGATAAATTTATATATTTTATTTTTGTAAGTATATAATATTTATGTTCAAAAATAAAATCTAATATGCTGGTAAGACATGTTAACATTAGCAAACTATAAAATACATATATATATATATATATATAAATTAAACATGTATTTCAGCAAAGCTAATAATATAAAATCTTTACAACTACTTTAATCATGATATATTTTCATTATATATATAAATATATATTTATATATTAAATTTTAAAAATTATAATAAATCTGTGTAAAAATATTACAAGAAGTTAATGTATTTTATGCTATCGTTCTAAAATGAAAAATTTATATTATATCCTATTTTATTTACTTCATATTCATAATCTTCATGTTAAAATACTATTATTATATCGAACTAAATATGATAAAAGTGTATTAAATTTATAAATTTTATTTTCATAAATATAAATTATTTATTTTTTAAAATATAATATGATGACAAAATGATTTAAAATTAGCAAACTATATAATACATGTCTAAAAATTAACATATCTTAAACTTTTGTATATAAAATAATATATTATATAAAATGAATAAACATAGAAATATTGGTAAAAGAAAATCCAGCTTTGAATGTCAGGTCAGAATTCACCATAAATTAAATATAAAATACTTCTCAAATATGTTTTCTCATGAATATATTAATTTGCTTAATAACAAAATGCAAATATAATAAGATAAACATATAATAAGAAGTGATAAATACATACAGTTTTTAACAATTGATTAATATAACATGTAAATTATAAAATTATTGTATTTGAAATAGCTATATAAACATTTAGTACATGATTAATGTTAAAAATATATACCACTTATGTTCTAAAATAAATATTTATGTATATAAAAATGAAAGCAAACAAATATACAAATATTTATGTATATAACCAAAAGTATATTTATTGGTTACTCCCTCTGTTCCACTTTATTTGTCGTTTAGATAAAAAAAATTCTTTTCAAATAAATGTTATTTTTAGTTTCAATACAAAATTTACTAGTTTTATCTATTTTTTATTTTTCTATTGGTTAAAATGTGATTATGTGTATAGATAATTGTGTTTTTATTTTGAAAATATGTAAAATTAAATGATATTTCAATCTGTATGTATAAATTTAAAATGACAATTAAAATGAAGCGGAGGAAATAATAAATAACTGATCAAACATATCTTCAAAATTGTTTTTATTCGTATATTTGCAGTTTGATCGATTTACATGATTAGTTTATTCATTTGATTAGCTTCGAAAAAGAATAGTGTATGTCCAACAGTCCAACTGATATCATCATAGAATAATATTCCTGTCCAACAATCGATTATGAACTCTTGTATGAAAGGCAATTTGTGTTTGTGTTTATACCAAAACTGAATTCATTCATTCAAATAATTGAGAAGCTGATGAGCCATGATAGTGGAATTCCACTATACAAAAACCAAGTCCAATCACAAGGTATCACTTTGTCATTTCAATAAAGTAAAGTTAAAAATTTATAATCATAATATTAATATGTAGTTGTTGACAAAAAAAAAAAAATGGAGCTATAATAATAATATTTCTAAAAGTTTGGACTTTAAAAGAAAATAAAGTAATACACAAAAAAAAGGAAGAGCTTTTGGCATCCAGGTAGAGAGAGACAGAGAGACAAGCTGACCGGAGAAGAAGAAGTCGAACTTTTGTCTGTAAGTCTCTTTACTTATCTCTCATCCTTATTCGCACGCTACTCGATTCCTCCACTAAAGTCTCGATCTTTAATCTCCAACGAGATCCACTCCTCGAGATTTCACATTCTGGTGACCAAAGGTTTAACCTTTTTCGTTGATCTCTTCAATTTAGGAAAAAAAGAAAATGGATGGGAACTTTCCTCAAGGAGGTGTGGCTCGTGGTGGAGCTTCTTCCTACGGAGGATTCGATCTACAAAGCTCCATGAGAGTTCATCATCACCACAACTCTCAACAGCTTCACGAAGGTCTCCCCTTTACTATGGCCACAGCTCAAGCCTGTGATCATCATCACAACAACATCCCCATCACCGAGCAACAAAGAGAAAAGAACAACTCAGTGAGTGATGATGATGAAGAGGAAGTTGGTGGTGAAAAGTCAACCAAAGGCTCTCCATGGCAACGAGTGAAGTGGACTGATAAGATGGTGAAGCTATTGATAACCGCTGTGTCTTATATAGGCGATGATTCGAGTATGGATACTGGTAGTAGAAGAAAGTTTGCTGCTTTACAGAAAAAGGGAAAGTGGAAGTCTGTTTCAAAAGTTATGTCTGAGAGAGGCTACCATGTTTCTCCTCAGCAGTGTGAGGATAAGTTTAATGATTTGAATAAACGGTATAAGAAGCTTAATGATATGCTTGGGAGAGGGACTTGTTGTCAGGTTGTTGAGAATCCACAGCTTTTGGATTCTATTGGGTACTTGAATGATAAAGAGAAGGATGATGTTAGAAAGATTATGAGTTCTAAGCAGTTATTCTATGAGGAGATGTGTTCTTATCATAATGGGAATAGGTTGCATTTGCCTCATGATTTTGCTTTGCAGCGTTCGTTGAAGCTGGCGCTTAGGAACAGAGATGATGGTGATAATCATCATCAAGTTGAGGATGTTGATGATGATGATGGGGAAGGTGATGAGGGTGATGAGTATGAGGAGCAGCATGGGGGTTGTAGGGGAGTTCATTATGGAGGTGGTGGTGGTGGTCCTTTGAAGAAGGCTAGACAGAGTCATAGCCATGAAGATGTTGACCATTCTCTGGAATGTAATAAGCTCTCTCTGGCTCAAATGCCGTTTCCTCAAGGTGGGGAAGAGGGTGAGAGATCAGCTTTGATGCAGAAGCAGTGGATTGAGTCTCGGACTCTTCAGTTAGAAGAGCAGAAGCTTCAGATCCAAGTTGAGTTGCTGGAATTGGAGAAACAGAGATTCAGGTGGGAGAGGTTTAGTAAGAAAAGGGATCAGGAACTGGAGAGAATGAGGATGGAGAATGAGAGAATGAAGCTTGAGAATGATAGGATGGGATTGGAGTTGAAACAAAGGGAATTGGGTGTTGAGTTGTAGCAAAACTGTCTTCACTTCTCTTTATTGGTATATATAAGTTTGCTGATGATGGACTCGTTTATGCTGTTGTAAGCTTGATTTGAAATGATCTCGAGACTTTGATGTGAGAGATCATGTGTATGCATCTGTGATGGAGGTAGTGGTCAATACTAGCAGTTCTCCCAGGCTTTGCCTTAACTTCTCAACTGGTTTTTTTCATCATTTTGCTGTATTATTCTTGATAAGTCAAAGATTCAGAATGTAACAAATGTCTGTCTCATATTCTATTTCAAAAACATGGATTTTTCAATTTTGAAACCAACTCAACTTCTTGGTCTGTAACTTCTGTGTAAACGTCTTTGGCTTGCTCTGCTTCATGCACCTGTGAAACAAGAACCTTGTAATGTAAATTTCAAGCAGAGTTCGTGATGCAAGAAGTCTATCAAAGCGCAGTTTGGGATTGCAATGTGCAGTGCATTCACTCAGGGAGGGACAATGTGAGGAAGAACTTCCATATTCAGGGGACATGTTCACAATGGATATCCAGAATCAACATCAGAAGTTTCTATCTTGGTATTGCTGGAGTTGCTTGTGCTACTGTAGTGAGTGAACGTTTTCATCCAAGATGGCATCTCCTTCAGCCTCTTGTTCAAAGTAAACACTAAACAGTAAGCAACACATTCACCCTAAGACAAACTTAATAATTATTCTGTGGAAGTAACTGTAAATTTTCACGGTAATATCAAAGAAATAACAGTAAATTTTAAAGTTTTACGAAGCCCGAACTCAAATTGGTTGACTAATCTTTTTAAATTACCAAATGATTTTCTACTTAAAATCATTATATAATTAGAGCATATATAGTTTGAATGTTTACCATTTCTTTACATTTGAAACTTCCTTGCAAAAATAAAATAAAATCAACCGTAATCTTTGAATACTGTTCTTTTCAATACAGTGCATATTTTAGATTTTTCACACATCAATAAAACATCTAATAAATGTATATATTTTTGTGATTATCTTGTTCCCATTATTTTAAACCAATAAGAGTTCAATAAGTGCAATTAAGTTTTTTGAAGTTTGCAATTATTCATTATGATTTGATAAAACATATATTGAAAATACAAAAATGAATCTTTTTGAAATATATATATTTTTAATATGTAATTTGATGAAACAGAGGGAATACAAAATATAAGAGTCACGTTGTTAAATCAAAGCACACGTAGACGTTGGGATATAATATATATGGTAATATGTGGAAAGGAATACTTTGACGTCCTTCTTGAGTTACATTGACATGGTCTTGATTGTGTAGCTGCATTTATAGAGAACATCTCAAGACATTGAGGTTTATTTCCTAATCCCATAAGAAAAAAAAGACTTGAAACAAACAAGGTTAGAGAGCAAAAGAAGAGAGGTTGAAGATGAACATGGTGCAGAGTCTGTTCTTGGTGGCTATTTCCATTATTGCGTATACACAGCTAGTCAAGGGCCAATCATTTCAAAATTGTCAAACTAAATGCGGCAACGTGTCAATCGAGTACCCTTTTGGCACTTCTCCAGGTTGTTACTACGCTGGAGATCCTAGTTTCAATATTACATGTGACTCTTCAAACAAGCTAATCTTTGGCACCAACGAAGTGATCAACATCTCTCACAGTGGCGAGCTACGCGTCTTGAATACTAGATCATATGTTTGCTACGACAGGCAAGGAAACGTGACTAACCGAACTAACCGGTGGTCTAGTCTTGGTAACTTAACATTCTCCGACAAGAACAGGTTTGTTGCAGTAGGTTGTAACACTTACGCGTTTCTGAACACTGACGGTGTTGGAAACTACTCAACTGGATGTATGTCATTATGCACTTCTCCAAGGGAGACAAATGGATCATGCTCTGGTGGAGGTTGCTGCCAGACATCTCTCCCTAGAGGGAGCCACTACTTCATGGTCTCACCGTATAGCTTTTCTAACCATACTTCTGTTTATAGCTTCAACCCTTGCAGCTACGCCTTTTTAGTTGAAGATGGTATGTATAAATTCAGATCTAAAGAAGATCTTATGAATCTGAGGAATATCAAGAGGTTCCCTGTGGTACTGGATTGGTCTATTGGTCAAGATTCATGCGAGTACGTTGGAAGTGGGAACATATGTCGTGGGAACAGCACATGTTCCAATTCTGTTCGGGGAATTGGATATATATGCAAATGTAAGGAAGGGTTTGATGGGAATCCATATCTTTCAAACGAAAATGGTTGTCAAGGTACGATTTCTTGTTTTAGAAGTTACTCTCTCAATTTGAAAAATATGTGTTTTAGAGTTTTCACACATTATGAAAACATCTTAAACTTTGTTTATAAATGCATTGTTTATGTGATTAGTTGTTTATCAAAACTTTTAAGCACTCAAAATTTAATAAGTAACAATTCATTTTTTTGAACTTTACAATTTACTGTTATTATCAAATAAAATTACCCTGAAAATAAAAAAAAATGAATATTTTAAAAACAAATTATTTTGAAAATATTTTCCTGATACATTTTTTGTTGCCTTGGGACAGACATCAATGAATGTACTACTACTAGTACTATCCATAGACATAACTGTTCAGGTTCCAGCACCTGTGAAAACACGGAAGGACACTTCCTTTGTAATTGCCCATTTGGTTACAACTTAAATACCACAGACAATAGCTGCATGCGTAAAGGCAGGCCTGAATACTATGGATGGACTCAGATTTTTCTTGGTAAGCTCCGATCTCACTTGTTCTGGATTCTTACTTTTCTGGAACAAAAATAAAACACTCTCTAACCATTTTATGTGTGATGTGATCAGGAACAACCATCGGCTTTTTAGCCATCCTACTTGTCATTAGCTGTGTCCAACGGAAAATGAAGCACAGGAAAAACACCGAGCTCCGAGAACACTTCTTCGAGCTAAACGGTGGCGGCATGTTGAGACAGCGACTCTCAGGAGCAGGGACATCACATGTTGATGTCAAAATATTTACTGAAGAAGGCATGAAGGAAGCAACTAATGGTTATGATGAGAGCAGAATATTGGGTCAGGGAGGGCAGGGAACAGTCTACAAAGGGATATTACCAGACAACTCTATAGTAGCCATTAAGAAAGCTAGGCTTGGAGACAGTAGTCAAGTAGAGCAGTTCATCAACGAAGTGCTTGTGCTTTCACAGATCAACCATAGGAACGTTGTCAAGCTCTTGGGATGCTGTTTAGAGACTGAAGTTCCCTTACTGGTCTATGAGTTCATTAATAGTGGCACCCTTTACGATCACTTGCACGGTTCCATCTCTGGTTCTTCTCTAACATGGGAGCACCGCCTAAGAATAGCTGTTGAAATTGCTGGAACTCTTGCATATCTTCACTCCTCAGCTTCAATTCCAATCATCCACAGAGATGTCAAGACTGCTAATATTCTCCTGGATGAAAACTTAACTGCCAAGGTAGCTGACTTTGGTGCTTCAAGGCTGATACCTATGGATAAAGAGCAGCTCACAACCATGGTGCAAGGCACTCTAGGTTACTTAGACCCGGAATACTACAACACAGGGTTGCTGAACGAGAAGAGTGATGTTTATAGCTTTGGAGTAGTCCTAATGGAACTTCTTTCAGGACAAAAGGCATTGTGCTTTGAAAGGCCACAGTACTCAAAACACCTGGTGAGTTACTTTGCTTCAGCCACAAAAGAGAATAGGTTGCACGAGGTTATTGATGGGCAAATGATGAATGAGAATAATTATGGAGAGATCCAAGAAGCGGCCAAAATTGCTGTTAAGTGTACAAGAGTGACAGGAGAGGAAAGGCCAAAGATGAAGGAAGTAGCTGCACAACTTGAGGGCTTGAGAGTCACAAAAACCAAGCATCAGCGGTCGGATGATTATCCTGAGCCAATGGAGATGGAGCATTTGCTTGGTCTTGAAATCTTGTCAGCACAAGGTGAAACCAGTAGCACTGGCTATGACAGCATCAAGGATATAACAAGAATACACGTTCACTCTGGCCGCTGATTAGACTCGTTGGCCACAATGGATTATTTCGTTTTCATCCTTACGGGTGTGCACTGATCAAATAGTACCATAATTTTTAGTATTTTTTCTATGATTTTAATTAATTTTGTTTATTTGTCATGTTTTTAATTATTTTGATTAATGGTTAATTATCATCTTTAATGAATAATTAGATTTATTAATATATAGTTAACTATAAACTAAAAATGAATTAAAATATAATTAACCTTAATTAAAAAAATCATTGGTGGAATGATTATCATTATCTAAAAATTGTTTCTATTAATTAACCATAAATTAAAATCAACCTAATATATAATTAATAATAAGTTAAAAAGGAATTTTTTTGATTTGATAATTATCATTATATAAAAATAATTTATACTATGTTATAAAGTCTTTATTAATGCTATTGAATAATTATATTTATTAATATATAATTAACCATAGATTAAAAATAAATTTCATTGATTTGATAATTATCATTGTATAAAAATAGTTTAGGTTGTGTTATTTAAAAATTATATGTTTCAATAAAATTTGAAAGTAAAAAGTTTTCTTATAAAACATTTCTAAAGAAAAATTGTAGTTTAAAGATTTTATATTCTTTCTTAATTTTAATTTGCATAAGTAATTTATAAAAAAAATATATGCTAAAATAATAATTATATAAGATTTTACATTTAAAACTTCATATTTAACTATAAATATACTTATATATGTATAAAAGATAGAGCGGAGCGAATATCATTTCTAAAAGTTTTAGTATTTGTGATTTGCTTTGCTTTTAACGGATATTGAATATTTGTTTTACTACGAAGTCTTATGGACATCCGAATTTTTCCGGATCAAATCAAAATGCATATTGAATCGAATAAAATTTAACGGAACTTTTTTTCTGATTCCAAATGCCTTGACATACAAGAAAAGAACCTCCTAGTTTTTTTTCGTTTTGGGGAAGTACATCCTTGGTTGATCTGGATGTTATCAGGAGCTTATGCCAACACCGTGAGTTATAATGTCATTTGGCATGATAATATCAAGGAAAGAAGATAATTGACGGTTGACCAAATATTGTGACGGACCTGGTGTCTTCATGGCCAAACACTTTACTAGAGCCAGATCACGTGTCTTTTGCTGGGGGGGGNGGGGGGGGGGGGGGGGGGGGGCAGACATTTGGTTAGAACTAGATATACATCACCAAATATCTAGTCTCTTGTTTAATATGATATTATCAACTTTATATCCTAAATTAGATTAAGACCCGCACAATCGCACAGAATAAAAGTCATATATAAAATTAATTCTTATATATTATTATTTATGTGTGTTTATTTAGGTATTATGTGTATAATT